CCAGTTGCTCTGATTCTAGAGCAACCAGAGAGCTTTCTGTGAAAGATTCTTTGTAATTAATTCTGATCTCTGTAGTCTGTAGTACAGAACATGGCTATAATTCTAGTACACTTAGGCATCTGATCTGAGAAAGGTTCAGATACTGTGCATTTAAATTTTTGAGTAGTTAAGACTTAACTCTTTATACCCTGAGTTTTTAACCATACTGTCCATACTGTCCATACCTTTTACCATTGTGTCCGGGAGTGTTTTTCCACTGTCACCGAAACCTGACGCACCTTGCCTTGTTATCACAATACCCTCCTTTAGTAGCACTGCAGTATTCAACGAACACGCATTCGTTATTATTAGATGTGAATAGATTTATATCGATCTGAAGGAACATGTACAGGAGAATAGGATGAAGTAAATTTTTGGAAAAAAATTGACATATATATCTACTACTTGATTGTCTTGATCCTGGTTTTGGTTCACCAGTAAAACTGAGTCTTTGTGATCTTTCTGGATCTAGCTGTAGTTCCACGGCATTCTAGCCGCTATTACTTTCAGGATTTAAGAATTTAAGAGAGCTAGAGTTCTCTCTATTGTCTGACGATCGATTGCCCCTCAATTATTCAAGTTGAATTTCTTCTAACAACTGAGATCATGCCTCATGTAGAGTCAGTTTGCCTCTCTAGATCTACTATCCGTAGACCGACGCCCACTTTCTCTAAACAATATATAACATGATGTTTAAACAAAGGGAAAATTTCTTGATTGTAAAAAGGCAGTTTGACCTTGAAACAATGCCATTTTCATTGTAACTAAAGACTTTGAACTGAAAATTGTAAAAAAAAAAAAAAAGAGAAGCAAAGACTTAAGCACCTAGGCTCTTTTTACTAATTTCATGCCTAAGCAAGGAAACAACAGCTTTTATTGTAGGCCTACTCCCAGCGTCTGGTGGGGAACATGGTCATTACCGCTGGAGGCTCTCTCACCGTCTAGTGGGGTTTAAAAAGTTGTCAGTTCAATGCTTTGTTTTATCTATGTTGATGGAAAATATGTTGCAAATCTTTAGTCAAACATTAGCAAGTTTCACTTGTCAGTCAAAGCTTGGCTTTTTAAACTGCTAGCTGTCTCCGACGTTTGATATATGAGGCAATGATGTCTGTTTAAGGTTTTTTTTTGTGATCATGTTTGAGTTGGGTGCCTGTTGTCTACTTAGGTGCTATCGTTTATTTTTCATGACATTATAAAGGATTACACAGAAACGATTTGATGTTTTTCAACCGTTTAAGTTTGTGTTTGGAATTATTTGCCAAAAATTGATAGCTATGCATCTGAAAATAGAATTACATCACTGTGTACTTTAAATCTAAAAAATAAAGAGCTAAATTGCCGCTTCGTTAAAAATGTGTGGCGAAATAGTGATTTGTCCGGTTTCATTTTTGGCTCACCAATGTCTGAAGAAATGTTGTACTGCAGTAGCAGGAATAGCTCGAATTCGTCGGGACTGGCTTTGGTAGTTTGAGAGATCCATAAATAATAGTTAGAGGGATACGTGAACTGTGTTATAGGGCTCTGTGCCAGAGAATCAAGGGAGCGCAACAAAGATTGCCACTTTAGGGGCATAATATAACTGTGTGATGCACAACCCTTCCTCTCACCCGCTTCACTCAAGCATAGCTAGACCTAGGGCCTAGGCATGTGTGTCGAGCAGCACACTAAAAATAGTACAGCTAGCTGCTTCAGTGGAGGGGGAAAGGAGGTGACCAGTATTTTCCGACCTTGCGTGTTCCGTATTTTTAAATTATTATTTTTAAAATTTTGTCTCAAGTCCACCTCAAAGGACACCTGCTTTAGACCTCTACAGTGGCGTAATTAGTTAGACTACTATTACTATTCCATGTTTGTGTTCAAGCTTTGCGAAACTTGCTTACAAAGATGAAGAAGAAGAAAAACGGGACCGCAGGCACAGTTTGACGGATGCGTGATTTTGAGATTTCGAGTCTTCCGTGTTCAACGTATCCGTGTTATACTGTATGCCCTTTTTTTTTATTGCAAGAAGTGTCGATGAAGATACTTTTGCTTTTTTGACGTTTAATTTGTGAATGTTGACTAAGCATGATAATGGAAAAAATCCTTATATGGTAACTGGTAATCTTGTCATCCTGTAAGTCAAGCCCGTGATTTGACCTAGTAACTATTAATGGATGTGGCACATCATCAGTTCATAAATTTTGGTACAAACAAAAGTTTCCTTCTTTAAAATAAAACTTAAATAGTTTTTTCTGCTCAGCTGGAAACAGTAGAAGATGTGTATTTCTCATGAAATGCCCTTAACTGATGTAGTGTCAGTTTTAGTGTAACTTTTGAGAGCTTGGATTTTAAACAGACCTGTGTCTCACAATTTTCTCCTGCTTTGACCCAAAAGACATTCGGAATTTCTTAATCAGGCTTGCAACTTGAGCATACTTACCCATGCCTGCTGTAGGGATTTCAGTGTGCAATTGTGTACCCAGCTTCCACGTCCAGTGTGATATATGAACGACAACCAGATCTGACTTGATTTGGATTTTATTCCAGAGCCAGCGCATTCAGATTGTTGGGCTAGATCATGTAAACTGAAAATTTCCATTGTATTTTTTTACAGACCAAGAAAGCAGTAAGGCTTGAGGTCTTCATCAGCATTGACTAAAAGAAACTTTGCTTACAAGCAGAACAATACCCTTTTGTGAGACTACTAGTGTGAGACTGGAAGTTGTTTTTGGAAGAGATGTTGACTAGCCCCTACTTTCTTTGTTTATGTTTTTTTGTTAGTCTAGTGTTTTATGGCACTTGCGACTGCATAAGGTCATATATGAGTGCGCGGGACACATATTAAAAATTTTCAGGGGGTTATAAGAAATTTTGAAATTTGCCCGGGTGGTGGCTGAAGCCTACTCTTTATCAGTTTTAGACCACAAAGGGATTTTTACTGCGCGCAACTTGCAACGGTACTTCTGAGATTTTTTGCCCTTGTCCGAGAAGGCTAGGTGTAGATCTTGCCTACGAGAAGATCAGGGGTGTGGCTGAAAGACAGCTGAAAGGCTGCAGAAAGAGTCAGGAGCCTAGAGGAGGGGGCAAAGGAGGTGAGGGATGTGGGTCACAGAAAGTGGAGACGAAAGTAGAAGACAGATCATTGCTAGAGAGCAGGAAAGGTGGTGAAAGGAGACAATTTTAGAAGAGAAACTTTTCCGTCGCTACCTGGATTCGAACCCGGGACATTTGAATGAGAGGTGAACGCCTTAACTTCTAGGCCATGAGAGCCCCCCGCCCCTACTTTACTGGAAACAAAAGTAAAAGAATTGTCGCTTTTGTTTCTCACAGTTATTGTTTTTAAAACGTTAAGGGCTTAAATTCCTTCTTTAACCTCCATCAGTACACAGTCACATTCTCTGCTCATGGACACATCAATCACGTAAATTATTTCTCCTGTAGTTATTATGGTCTAATATGGCCACCCATTGTCAAAGAGACACGTGGCTGTCTTAGACAGGTGGCTGTCTTAAACAGTGTCATTATAATGTAAAAAAAAAGCAAGGGGGAAATGAGCAGTGGCTGTTTGTAATACAGGTGGAAATTAGAGCAGGTTGGACTGTGTTGTCACTTTAAGAACCCAACAACTCAGAAGTGGGAAGGTGGACAGATGCTTTGATAGCAGTGAATACATGAAATTATAAAATGAATTTTTTAAGTAGTTTGTCTGCCATTCAGAGGCTGTGAATTCAAGAATACTATATTTTGTCCCCGTCGTTTGATGCTTGAAAAATTCTGAAATTATGCAAACTGAGCCCAAAAATGTGAAATTATGCGATTTTGTTAATTTTAACAAAGAATGATAAAGGAAAATAATCGAAAATTATGCAACAAATGATTAAATTTTGCTAAATTATGCATGCTGGGTGCATAAAACCACGGGGACAGTATATTGCCTTTTCTGGTTTACAGGGATTGAGTAGGATGTATGGTACCTTTAAAAGACGTGTTAGCCTTTCTGTGGTTTGAAGGAGATATGGTTTAAAGAAACTTTTATTAAATATTCTCTGTATTCTTTCTGTGGCATGATGGTAAGGAGTGATCCTGGTTTTTTACAAGGGCTGCTATCCACGCCCACACTAAGTTACTCTTTCTTTTTGTTCATATTTCAATTTATCCAATATGGTTCGGTTTTGCTGTCTCCAATTATTGGTCATTGCTTCTTCTGTCCTTTCCCCAATTCTGTGGTGGACAGTTAGCTCAGTCCGGTGTGCTTGTGGTGAGGCAGACCAGAGCAGGTGGGTTATAATGATGGCCGTTTGGCCTGTGTTATCAGTGGGGAGAGCGTTCTTCTCAGGTGTGTTTTGTGTTCTCTGTCTCCCCCCAGAGGCAAACAGACAATTATTGGGCCAAGAGGAGAACTTGAATAGAGGGGTTTGGAAGGTAATGTGAGGAAGAGGGTTGAAGAATATAAAGGAAAAGAGTTTGGAGGGGGGTTGGGAAGGGGGATGTGGATTTTAGACAAAGAAGAGAGAAAAAAGGGGAGGGAGGGGGGGGGTTGGATTTTTGATAAAGTAGAGGAAAAAAAGGGGAGGAGGGGGGTCGGGGGTTGGCTCTGTGTTTCCCCCTCTTGTGTATGTGTGTTTGACCTGAGGTCTGTTCTATTATTAGATAGAGCTTATTGCGCTTGCAAAGTTGTCTGGTCTGTAGTGTGAGCTTTGTAAGCTGTTTGCAAATACTGGGGGTTTCACAGAGACACTTTTTTGTGTTTTCATCCGAAAGTGGTAGTAGTGCTTGTGGAATGTGTCACAGTTTATGGAATAGTGCCAGTTACGAGAAATAAGTACAAGGATTGGATATGTTTTGAACTTTTTTTTAAACACCAGCTGTCTGGTGTGTGAAGGAATATCGCTTGAATTTTATTTGTATTTTGTTATGAATTTTTGTATAATAATATCAGCTGCTGCTGCAGCTTCTAACTCATCTCGTTTTGCTTTTTCCAGATTTGCTTTTCACGAATTTCTTTGAGAGTGTGATGTTGGATGAGCGGCAAGATGTCTTTAGTTAATGGTGAGCCATATATTTCTTTTCTTTTTTTAAAATGATGTTTTCACGATTGATTTGAAAAAAAAAATGAAAAGTTTGGATCTTTTCTGATTTTTCTATATATATATATATACATATATGATCAATGTCCACATTCTTTTTTTTTTCAATTGAAATTTTATAGTTCATAGGCTTAGCTCTGGTATTTCTTCACTTTTTACCAGCAAAGGCTAAAGATGGGATACACTCTCTTGAGCCATGACATGATGGCTATTGAATTGTGGCCACCTTTGCAGTTACTTATTCATACGATGCTTTGTTTTGAAAAGTTTTACATTTCAACATCTAAGAAATTTGGTCTTTCAAAAGCCTGACCTTTGACCAAATGCCCATCTTGTACATTATCTTGTAATTTGTAGAATATTAAACACTAAGATATTAATATAAGAAGTGGCTGGCCCCACTTTAAAAAAAATTGCTTCTTGAACTGTTTGAATCTCCCACTTTGGAACTCAAAACACCATGCCACGTTAAGTTTACATTCTGCTTTTCCTTTGTGTGGCTCTTTCTTTTGGGTGTTGTGCATTAGTGGTGTTTGATTTATTCTCAGTTGTTTGTGACTATCTTGTTTTGAAGTTCATATGATCTTTAAGTACAGGAGAGACTTTGGTTTCACATACTGATACTCAGTCTAAAACAAAGATGCGATGCAAACTATTTTGTGCCAATCTTCAAAATATACCGGAAGTAAGACCTATATTATGTTATACCAATCTTCAAAATGTACGTGAAGTAAGACCTCCGTATAAATATTATAAAAGTATTCCCTCTTTGGATTTAAAAACAGGCATGTTAATTTGTTGCTCTGGCGTTTAAGTAAATAAGCATTTCTTACTCATAATGTCCTGAAGACTTTGTACTTTATAGCCAGATATAATTTTCTTTCCCTCTGGAGCATGCGCTATTGAGCTTTGTAATCTGTATGTTTTCTGTTCTGAGTTGACTTTCAAATATGGCTTTTTGTGTGTGTCAGTTTATCTTTGATTTCCTTGGCTCTTGTATTGTGGGCGGATGGTTGGAGGCTGGTCTAGTATGTTCTACTTCTTTGCGCTCCTTCTCTTTATTTTGACTGGCTGTGTGGGTGGGTGGTTGGCGGGTTGTCTGGTGAGGTTCGCTGCTTCTTTCCTATCAAACAACTTTATCGTCCTTATCTCTCCTCCTTTTCTGTGTTTGTTACTATCATGTAACTCCTTGTATCTTCGGCACTTATAAGACCTAATTGTGTTGCAAGTGCCATAAAAAGCTTACCATATTATAACACAGATGACTTTCTGTCTGTTTCAGTTTTTCCCATTAGTAAATGACCGTTAATTTTTTGCACTGTTCTTTTTTCTAAAGCTCAGGTTTTGTTATAACGTTATGATTCCTGAACTTACAGACAGTGAGATGGCTGCAGAGTATGTGGAAGTTGGGCAGAGGAAACTAGCTATCTCTGTCGGTGGAACTAATAATTTCACCATTATGTGAGAGGTGTAGCTATCGTGAAATTTAAGATGAATTTTGCTTTTTTTTCACTATTGTCCAAATTTTGCCCATCAAAGGAAATTATTAATTACTCCCAGCCTGACACGGCCCAGTGACAGAAATAGACAATGTTTGACCCATGATAAGAGATATGTGCACCACCTGTACCTTTTTCATAATGAAAACTTTATTTAACTAATGAGTCTTTTATGTGATGTGACATGAGCCAGTGGCCTTAAACACTGAATTATCTTAATGGGTGGTTGGTGGGTGCTCTGGTGTGGTTTGCTCCTTCTTTCCTATATATTAATACAAACTTTCTTCTTTGTCTCCCCTCCTTTCTATTTTGGTGTTTGTTACTCTCTAGTTACACCTCTAATCTTCTGGATCGATAACAGCATGACCTTATTGCGTTGCAAGTGCCGTAAAACTCTTACTAAAACTAAAACTGAATAAACTTACTCAGTGGGTGGTTGGCGGGTGCTCTGGTGTGGTTTGCTCCCTCTTTCCTATCAAACATCTATCGTCCTTATCTCTCCTATTTCTTGTTTGTGTGTGTCACTCTCTTGTAACACATCTATTCTTTGGCACTTATATGACCTTATTGTGTTGCAAGTGCCGTAAAACTCTTTCTAAAACTAACAGTGAATAAACTTCCACACATCCCCTATGACATGGTGTACTCACAGACAGTGAGACGGCTGCCGAGTATGTGGAGGTCCTACAGAGGAAGCTGTGGACCCGTGGGGACCACTCGCAGGACGACGAGCTCAGCTCTATCATCTACATGCTGGACAGCCCCCTGTTCAAGCAGCTCCTCACACTGCAGGTCGGTCAGGGACTGGTGCTTGGCTACCTCAGAATTACAAAGTTCTATCTGACTTTTCAGGCCATTTTGAGTTATTAAGACTATGAGGTCAGAGACCAAATGTTTTATCTGCTCTATAAAAAAATCGCAAGAGTTTTCGGAGTCAGTATCAATATATTCAGACGATTGCATATGGAAAAGCTTGACATGTTGTGAAACTCAAAATTTTATGACGTCAAATTGCTCAAAACTAGGTACTGAACTGATAGCACTTTAGTAATTTTGAGGTAGCAACTTGTGTGTGAGGATTGAATTACTGACTTAATTACTGTTTCAGTGTGCTTTTCAAATTTATTCAGCAAAAATCAAGGTTAAGAAATCTCCCAAACTCTAATGTCTTTCAGAAAGACAGGATAACATTTTATTGATCTTTTCAAAGAGAAAATTTGTGGCATAGAAAGTACATTCAGGATGACAGACATGCACACATTCTGTGTGTTTTGTATTTCCTTCTTTTTATATGTTCTATTCTGTACCCCTCTCAGATTTCCTGGCACTCTTATTTTGCAGGGCATGGTTAAGAAAATAAAAATGCAAGTTTTTCTTTATAATATAAATTTTCCTAACAAAATTGAGGTGGGCGGGGAGACTTTTAATAAACTGCTAGTACAGAGAGGTGCTGTCTGCAGAAAAAAGCAAAGGACAATGAGTGTATTTTACCTGTGTGATTTGATTTGTTATATATGAAAAATGAATAGAAACTATTTACCCCATTTTCAATATTTTCAAGTACAGCACATGTGAAAAAACCCTTAAAAAACTGTTAGTGAGGAATTATAACTGAAAATGGGAAATTATATTATGGTCATATTCATCTCTCACACTACTGAGGGAATTTTGTTAAAATGAATTGTCCATTAAAAAATTGTCTTTGCAAGAGCTATTAAAACTGCCATTTTGTCTTTCCTGTTTTTGTCTTTTTTTGTTGTTGTTTGTATTATACTAAAGAGAGCCATTCTAATCCTTCTATTTTGAATATAAAGGCCTAGAAAAATGCTGATGTTGCTAATGGTGTGGTGGTTTTCTCCAGGAGTCTCTACAAGAACTGAAGCATGTTTCACAGACCCAACCGTTGAGTGAAGAATCGTTTGACATCACAGCGTCTGGTGAACTTATTCTTAACGACGAGGCAGCTAACGGGTTCACACCAGAGCATGTGGCGGACAGCTCCACCCTCAAACTTAGAGGAGAGCCGTTTGATCCTGCAGGTAATAGTTTTGACTGTCACTTATAAAGACAATGTGAATATGGCAGAGGATCTCTCAAATAAAGACTTTGACGGTCACTGGTAAAGACAATACAGAAGAGGATCCTGTGGGTAATAGCTTTGACAATCACTAATAAACGCAATATGGCACAAGATCCCATGGGTATTAATTTTGACAGTCACCAGTAAAGACTTTACGGAGGAGGATCCCGTGGGTTATAGCTTTGACGGTCATCAATAAAGACGATGTGGCAGAGGATTTTTGTGGGTAACACTAACAGCTTTGACGATTGCTAATAAAGACAATATGCCAAAGGAACCCGCTGATGATAGCATTGACTGTCATTAATAAAGACAATACAGAAGCGGATCCTGTGGGTTATAGCTTTGACAATCATTCATAAGGCAATACCGCCGAGCCTGCTCTAAAGGCCACCTGACCAAGACAATGACTTTGTACAAACAATCCCTTCCCACCCCCCCCCCTCCTTGTTTGTCTGTCTCTCTCTCTCTTGCCTTTTTCTAAACTCCCAGTGGAGCATAGGCCATCAACAACATTTCTCTAGCTGAAGCCTGTCCTGTGCATCCTTTTCTAGCTGTTTTCATGATGATGTCCTCGCCTTTTCTATTTCCACTTGTACCGCTCGCCTCCATGTCATCTTTGGTCTTCCTTTCTTTTCTTACGTTGTGTGTTTGTCTACTGTCTGTATAATTATGACACTTTCCAAGACCACTTTCCAAAACGTACACCTGTCTACAACTACAACAACTCTTCTCTTCAACACTGGGCGACAGTCCTGGATAATTATCCACTGTCGATCATGTGACAGAATTCAATCAATAAAAAGGCCTTGAGTATTGAGTTCCAACTGGAAAAATAGAAGGCAAAAAAGGCAGAAATAGACCAAGAATCACTGTACACCGAGGGTAAACTATTTTTAGTCGCATTTAATAATGCGAGTTATTCTTGTTTTCATTCTTATATTATGTAAACCACCATATTTCCACCGATCTCTTTTACTGTATATTGTGTAGTGTCAAGGCTATTTCAGACTTTAAAATTATTCTTTATTAATGCTTCCCCCCACTCTCTCACTCCCCCTCCCCCCTCTCTCCTCTGCGACTCCTCCCTCTCCTCCTCTTGGTCCTTCTCCCTCCGTTCTCCCCTCCTCTTCCTCTCCTCCCCCTCCTCCATCCATCCCCT